AAAACGACATCCAGCTTGACCCGGTGCCAGCTATGCCGAGTCCTGATCTGAGTTGAGGATAGCCCCTCCTTGAATTTAGGCAAAAGACTTTTCTGGAAATAAAATATTAACGATCAAAAAGTGTATACATACTTTCGAGACACCCTGTAGATTTTTCCAGATTTTGGTTTATACAAAATTTCTGAATTTAACGTAAACCCACTCAGCATAGACAAATGCGCATAATGCGCATGCACTCACAGTCCCCAAGGCACAAAAACCCGGAAACACCGTGTTTCGAGATATATGTAAGACCGCATTGGCAGTACTGCAGTACACCACAGTACGTTGTAGTTGCGCTCTCATTACTTTAGGGACAGTAATTTGACTTGCGAGCTGTTCCTCTGCAAATCAACTCAATCTGTCCCACTACGCTATTGAACCCTCGATCGCCTGCTCAGCGGCGCGAACACTTCCACTGCGCCATTATCATCTGCATGACGCATGGAGCACGGAAACTCAGACTGTATGGTTCCATGTAAACAATACTATTACTTTTAAAAGATAATAAATAATTTATTATTGATAGCCCTGTACATTTATCACAGACTAATAAGAAGAAGCCATGTATCTTCCCAGTGTGAGTTTGACAAATGGATTTACCTGTGCAACAATTAAAAAATCCCAAGCAACCCCCAATCACAAACAAAGTTATTTACAATACATATTAGATACTGTAAAACAAGCACTAAATAGATAGCATCATTTTTTCGACTAATGCATCATTGAACTCCAATTCATCATATACTGATGTTAAAAATTGCCTACAATCCGGATTTCTGCCAAATGACCCATAAGAAGCAACGGAAGCGCAGAGAAAAAGAACTATTCCTTGTTTAGAAGAAGATACACATGCTGTACAGTTGGCAGCGCAGCAATACTTCTGCCTTCATCGTCATATGCTCTGGCAGCAAATGATATAGCTCTAGCAAAGGTGTCAGCAATTCGTTTGCGCACTGGCGACAACAGAATTGCTTCGGTTTCTGGAACTCCGATATACAGCGAATATGTCGCGCAAAGCTGAAAATTTGCATTTTGTTTGATACTGGTGATGTTAGCATGTAGGTTCACAAACCTCCGGCCATGCATGTGTCAGAGCTCTGACCGCTGCCTTCGCCAACTCGCTTACTTTCGCAGGTGAGAGATCAGGGTGCTTCTTGATATCAAAATCCGGTTTTAAAAGCTGCAAAAAACTCTTTTAACGTCAAAAACTCATGCTTCGTCCAACCTCGTCCTCAGCAGTATCCACCCAGTTCATCATCGGACCAACAACTATGTTCGCACTGGTGGTTATGAGTTCATTGCAGCGTTTGCGCAACTGAATGTCGATGATTCGACGGGTGTCACCGCTCTGTTCGGATACGTAGATTGGAACCTAAACGAACATAATCGTAATCTTCGAAGACTGATCAATATGCGTGCAGGTGAAATATCACACCGAAAACAGCAGCTCCAGGAAAGCGTTGTTTGAGCTAAGTTCAAACCAGCGGCTTTTATCGTCAAACAAAGAACTTTTCATCTTTGCGAAGTCGATTGAACAATCATACATAGGTAGCGTAGCGTCAACCCTGAAATTGAGGAGATCATCTTTGCCGAGAAGTTACAACGTAAAAAGAAACCCGAATGTTTATGGGGTTCCTTTCATGATGAAAGATTAGAGCGGCCGCTGTCATACATGGACGGAATATCCTATGCCTCCACAGACTCCTAAGGATCTACTTCACATATACAACCCGAGTAATCTCAGATTTCGCAAAAACTTTGAACATCGGCTCATCAAATATGCAACACAAAAAGAGTTTTGGATAGTATGGCCTTTTGTAAAATTATGGCAGGTAAGTGGAAATGAGTCATGATCCCAGAACTTGCTGATCATGCAAATGGGAGTCATCTGACAGTTGCTCCCAGCTATATCCACTTCCTATGAAAGCACGGTAGGATACGGTAATCGCAGGTTAGTCATGATGAGGCTTACTATTGCATAGTTACGAACTAGGTAAACAGTGTGTCAAATAACAACCCCCTAAGAAACAACTAAATTCAATGTTTGATTCCACATCGTGTAACCCGTAATTCCAAAAAAAA